AGCAAATGTGTACTATTTTGTTTTTACCTTGACTCACCTTTATTGCAGTGTGATGAGTGAGTGTATGTTTTTTTATTCGTTTTTGAGTGCATCCTTTATTTTCTTTTTATTATTAAGTGTATTGATTGTTTTCTAGTATTCTCATATGTTGTTCAATGTGCACTAGTTCCTATTGGAACGATTTATGTACCCCCCTATGTAATACCCTCTCACGAGGGCCTTTAGGGGTAATATGAATAAAAAAAAAAAAACTGCTGCGTCAATTATACCCGAGTCCGCCAATGTATTTTGTGCACGTCCTCAGATTGGACACGAGCGCTACGATAGAGTTCGGGGATGACTCGGATCCAATCACGAGCTTCGTGGCCCAGAAATGGCGACCGCCAATGGTTGATTACATGACTCCATGTAACGAAAAAAGGTGACGAATTGTGCCCGGCGGCGTTCCTTCTGCGGCGTGGCGTAAGGACCACCAGTGGCCATTGGCCATTGACCCCGTAAGTGACTACGTCACAACATGGTGTCTGGGTCCAAACAAACTGTTGCTAGGGGCGTTGCTATGGACTAATGCATGGAGACTCCATATGAGGCTAGACTTTTTGCTTACAAGTAAGTAAATAATTTTTGTAAACAACCTAACTTCTTCATATCTAATTACGAAAATGTTCTTGTCGTTTCAGTGTCGTATTGCAACAATGAAAGCCATTTCTGAAGCATTACGCTTTGCTTTGGTAGCAGACAACACGATAGATTTGCTGGCCTCTGTTGCAGCGGGCGTCTTCAATTAATTGCGTCCGTAAACGAGAAACAAAAACAAGTGCATCGCCATGGCCGTAGAGGCCTCCGCAATGTGCGTTTCTTTCTTTTTTTTTTTTTTTCTGTGAAGAACTTGCAGCTTAGTTCAGAGGGGGTGAAAATGCCGTAAAATCAAACCCCGTCATGCAGATCAGTTATGACGACGACCTGAAGTGCATTCCCGGCGTAGTGCAGGCCAGCATGAGAAACAAATCGTATGCCGTCGAGGTAAGTCGTTTGTTATTATTATTATTCAGGTTGTCAGGTTATTAAAGAATGGTATGTCTATAGCAATTACGCAGTATGAATTGATGGGGATCCCAGGTTGTGGAAAGAAAGTCCTGGCCGCCTCCTCTTCGATGTCTTAAAGAGATTTGTTTTGCAGAAGTGTTACAGTTGGAACTACGTCGAACACCCTGGAGTGCCTTTTAAATGTTCCAGAGCTTGGCCAGCCCCGTCGTGCTGTGGAAGGAGGCGCAATGTTCTGTTCGGCGTGTTCTCGCGAGTGTCTTGAAATGTTGCCTTATCAGCGCGGTCTTGTGCCGAAGGTCGATAAGCTCTTTGTACATTCGGCCGTTGATGAGATATTTTATGTGCATTTGCTCTCGCGTATCCCAGAGATTAAGAATATATTTATCCGGTGGTGGGATATCTTCGGGCAGTTCCAATCCGTGCAGCGAACCTTTCGTTTCCATTTTTTCTGACCGGTGCCGAGTGTGATCCTAATGGGACAGTGATCGTTGTTCCATAGGTCTCCCTTACAGGCGCATGCAGTAGCAAGCCCAAGTGAACTTCAAGTGAGGTATGATGTGGCTCACTGTTGTCGAGAGTGTAGGGCCTCCCGGGTGGGAATCGCAAATAGTGTAGGAGAGTCAAATTTGCTCTGAAAAACAGTTTTACTTGTTTACTTTTCTGCAGCGCAGGTGAACAAATCAATCACTGCGATGTACGGAGCGCTTCGAAAAAGCGATGGGCTTGGCTCGGAAGAGCTCTGATTATTGGTACGGACATTGAGCACGACGTTCTGTTTGCTCATTCTCTCCATGCAGATCACGTTTTCGAATCAAATCTCTTTTTTTTTTTACGATTATTGTTTGCTGGGCGCGCTTAGTAGATATAGTGTGCTACCATACCATGAAGGAGGTTTAAATTCACGCTATCTAAACATCTAGCGCTTTGCACAATAGACCCATCTCACTAAGCGTTCGGTGCATGCGTGACGCCGCCGTAACTTTAGTTCACGGGAGGCAGACGGCCATGCATGCGAGGGTTCGTGCCGTCTGCACAAGCGCCCTCGTCGAGGTGGAATTCCAAGCATAAAAGTGGACCTTTTCTTTCAGTCTCTCATTCGCAAAGCATGGTGAAGGAGCTGTGGGTACAATGTCAACAATGCTATCCCCAGGAGCGCATCATCAAGCTATGCGATCCCCATTGTGACAATATTGAAATTCTGCCCATACAGTGGTCACGAAGACAGCGAGGCATTCCATTTTGGCTCGTGACAGATGCCTCGACATGCTTTCGGGTAGTGGCTCGTGCCCTGTCGCTGGGATTACGGGAATGGCTGGACCTTAACAATGCGTGGAATTCAGCGCGCGGCCTCTGCTCTGCCAACCCCGACGCGTGGCTATGATAAAAAAAAAAACAAAAAAAAACATTAACGAAAACCGTTTTTTTTTTTTTTTTTTTTGGGGGGGGGGGGGGGTGGCTGCGAGTTGAGGGGGTAAACGGTGTTTGTTTCTCTCGAATTTTTTTTTCTTTGTGACAACCATTGCGTAGTAAAAGAAAAAAAAACATTCTAAGCTGTATTTATTGAAAGTCGAGACATTGCTTCATCGCCCTTTTAAATCAACACCAAAAATCCGCGACTTTCGTCTTTTTTTTTTTTTTTTCTCTTCTTCTAATTTCGGGTCATAATTTCTCTGGAACCAACATTGGCTGGAACAACCGCGTAACAAAAACACGGCAACCGAAACATGGCCGAAGAAATACCCATTTACTTACAGTCCGTGCATTTTTCTTTGAAACACTAGGTTTTAGACGCGTATAGATACTTACCGTGTGCGATTATGAATAACTTCATTTTGGTCAGTATCCCTCGCGCGACCATGATTGTGACTTCCACGAGAAGAAACAAAGAAGAAAAAAGGAACCCTGACGCAAGATTTGCGCTGGCGTTAAAACCGTGGCTAAAACATCAATAGCAGGATTGCGTTCCTTTCTGCTACCAGAGACCACGCAACACGCAAGTACACAGGGACTGTTTTAGAGGGACGTGCCTCCGTCGGAGACGTGAGCAGTAAGCGGACATGCAAGCTCAAGAGCGACACGACCAGGCGCAAAGACAGTACCCGGGGCTTGTTCCTCCGGGGCCAAGGAGACCCAGCTACCTCGCCAGAATATGCACCTTCGCGCTGCTGGTGTCATCTCTAGTTTTGGCCGCCGCATTTCTCTATTTCATTGTACCCGTTCTGATGAGAGATTCACAGATCGGACAGGTCTACCCTCGTTCTCACACTCAGAGCATTACCGAGGAAACAACCGAGAAACTCGTAACCACAACAAATACATCGACCAGTCAACTCCCAAAGAATACTGCACGGGACTCTAGTGTTAAACGATCGAGCACCTTGCTTAGTCGTGAAGAATGGCCAACATCAGCTTCATCACGAATCACTTCCGTCGAGACCGCAAGGGCTGATTTATCACGTTCCAGTAAGATGACATCAGAAGCACTGATCAGTGTGTCAACACCATTGTCGACATTGATGTCAACACCGGATAATACTACGGGAGCCACAAGCACTCAGTTTTCAAGTACGAAGTCTGATTCCAGAACAAATCAGCTATCGAAGTCAACAACCAATGTGACAAGATTATTGCCAACATCGACATCAATAATAGACAATACCACCGGACCCGCAAGCACAAATTCATCAAGTGCAGTGTCCGACTTCATAACGGATGGGACGTCGGAGTCACAAAACGATCTAACAATACTATTACCAACCGTTACATTGTCAGTGGACAATGCCACACACGGATCCACAAGCACCAATTCGTCAAGCACGATGCCCGATTATGGTACTAAGGAAACATCAGGGACAACGAGCAACGTGGCAACACCATTACCAACACTTGCGTCATTGGTGGAAAACGACACAGAGACCACGAACGCTGGTTTGACAAATTCAACGCCAGATTCTGGAACAAATGAGACGTCAGAGTCACCGAGCAATGTGACGCCATTACCAGCATCGACGTCACAACCGGACAGTATCACCGGGGTGGCAAGCACTGATTTATCAAGTACGATGTCCGACTCCAGAAAGGACGGGACGTCGGAATCATCCAGCAATGCGACAGCACTTTTTTCAACATCGACGTCTCCAGTAGACAATACCATCGATATACTAAGCGCTGATTTATTACCTACATTGTCCGATTCCGGAACGGACGGGACATCGGAGTCATTGAGCAGTGCTTTAACACTATCGCCAGTATTTACGCCACCAATTGACGATACCACCGGAAAGGAAAGCATTGAATCGTCAAGTGCAACATTCGATTCCCGCACAAATAGGGAATCGGAATCACCGAGCAATGCGACAACATCACTTTTAACATTACCGTCACCATTTGAAGATAACCCCGGAAACGAAGGAATTGAATCGGCAAGTGCAATGTTCGATCCCGGAACGGATAGGACATCAGAATCACCCAGCAATGGCACAACACCACTCCCAAAATTCGCGTCACCAGTTGACAACACCACCGGAAACGAAAGCAGTGAATCGCCGATTACAATGTTCGATTCCGGGACAAATGCGACTTCGGAATTCACGAACAATGCGACAACACCATTTCCAAAACTTGCTTCATCAAATAACAATGGCACAAGAGCCAGCAATGGTTCTTCAAGTACGGTGCCTGATTCTGGAACAAATAAGGCGTCAGAGTCACCGAGCAATGTGACAACACCATTGGACAATACCACCGAAATGGCGGGTGCTGATTCACTAAGTACGATGTCTGATTCCGGATTAAGTGAGACGTCAGAGTCACCCAGCAATGTGACAACACTATTGGACAGTACCACCGAAATGGCGGGTGCCGATTCATCAAGTACGATGTCTGATTCCGGATTAAATGAGACGTCAGAGTCACCGAGCAATGTGACAACACCATTGGACAATACCACTGAGATGGCGGGTGCTGATTCATCAAGTACGATGTCTAATTCCGGATTAAATGAGACGTCAGAGTCACCGAGCAATGTGACAACGACATTGGACAATACCACCGATATGACGGGTGCTGATTCATCAAGTACGATGCCTGGTTCTGGATCATACGAGACGTCAGAGTCACCAAGCAATGTGACAACACCATTGGACAATACCACCAAAATGGCGGGAGCTGATTCATCAAGTACGATGTCTGATTCCGGATTAAATGAGACGTCAGAGTCACCGAGCAATGTGACAACACCATTGGACAATACCACCGAAATGGCTGGTGCTGATTCATCAAGTACGATGCCTGGTTTCGGATCATATGAGACGTCAGAGTCACCCAGCAATGTGACAACACCATTTGGCAATACCACCGAAATGACGGGTGCTGATTCATCAACTACGGTGTCTGATTCCGGATTAAATGAGACGTCAGAGTCACCGAGCAATGTGATAACACCATTGGACAATATCACCGAAATGGCGGGTGCTGTTTCATCAAGTACGATGTCTGATTCCGGATTAAATGAGACGTCAGAGTCACCGAGCAATGTGACAACGACATTGGACAATACCACTGAGATGGCGGGTGCTGATTCATCAAGTACGATGTCTAATTCCGGATTAAATGAGACGTCAGAGTCACCGAGCAATGTGACAACGACATTGGACAATACCACTGAGATGGCGGGTGCTGATTCATCAAGTACGATGCCTGGTTCTGGATCATACGAGACGTCAGAGTCACCAAGCAATGTGACAACACCATTGGACAATACCACCAAAATGGCGGGAGCTGATTCATCAAGTACGATGTCTGATTCCGGATTAAATGAGACGTCAGAGTCACCGAGCAATGTGACAACACCATTGGACAATACCACCGAAATGGCTGGTGCTGATTCATCAAGTACGATGCCTGGTTTCGGATCATATGAGACGTCAGAGTCACCCAGCAATGTGTCAACACCATTTGGCAATACCACCGAAATGACGGGTGCTGATTCATCAACTACGGTGTCTGATTCCGGATTAAATGAGACGTCAGAGTCACCGAGCAATGTGATAACACCATTGGACAATATCACCGAAATGGCGGGTGCTGTTTCATCAAGTACGATGTCTGATTCCGGATTAAATGAGACGTCAGAGTCACCGAGCAATGTGACAACACCAACCAACAATACCACTGAAATGACAGTCACTGATTCGTCAAGTACGATGCCTGGTTCCGGTTCAAATGAGACGTCAGATTTACCGAGCAGTGTGACAACACCATTGGACAATGCCACTAATATGACAGATGCTGATTCATCAAGTGCGTTGTCTAATTCCGGATCAAATGAAACGTCAGAGTCATCTAGCAAATCGACGTCATCAACCAATACCACTGAAATGGCAGGCGCTAATTCATCGAGTATCGTGACTGATTCCGAATCAAACGAGTCGTCAGAGTCACCGAGCAATGTCACAATACCATTGGACAATAATACCATTGAAACGGCGGATGCTGATTCATCAAGTACGATGTCTGATTCCGGATCAGATGAGACGTTAGATTTACCGAGAAGTGGGACAACAACATTGGGCAATACCACTGAAATGACAGACGCTGATTCATCCACTCCGATGCCCGATTCCAGATTAAATGAGACGTCAGAGTCACCGAGCAATGTGTCAACACCAATGGACAATACCACGGAAACGACAGTCGCTGATTCGTTACCGAGAAGTGGGACAACAACATTGGACAATACCACTGAAATGACAGACGCTGATTCATTCACTCCGATGCCCGATTCAGTATTAAATGAGACGTCAGAGTCACCGGGCAATGTGTCAACACCAATGAACAATGCCACGGAAACGACAGTCGCTGATTCGTTAAGTACGACGTCTGATTCCGGATCAGATGAGACGTCAGAGTCACCGAGCAATGTGACAACACCAACCAACAATACCACTGATATGACAGTTGCTGATTCGTCAAGTACGATGCCTGGTTCCAGTTCAAATGAGACGTCAGATTTACCGAGCAGTGTGACAACACCATTGGACAATGCCACTAATATGACAGATGCTGATTCATCAAGTACGTTGTCTGATTCCGGATCAAATGAAACGTCAGAGTCATTTAGCAAATCGGCATCATCAGACAATACCACTGAAATGGCAGGCGCTGATTCATCAAGTATCGTGTCAGATTCCGAATCAAATGAGACGTCAGAGTCACCGAGCAATGTGACAATACCATTGGACAATACCACCGAAACGGCGGGTGCTGATTCATCAAGTACGATGTCTGATTCTGGATCAAATGAGACGTCAGATTTACCGAGAAGTGTGACAACAACATTGGACAATACCACTGAAATGGCAGACGCTGATTCATCCACTCCGATGTCCGATTCATCCACTCCGATGCCCGATTCCGGATTATATGAAACGTCAGAGTCACCGAGCAATGTGACAACACCAATGGACAGTATTACTGAAATGACAGTCGCTGATTCGTCAAGTACGATGTCTGATTCCGGATCAGATGAGACGTCAGAGTCACCGAGCAATGTGACAACACCATTGGACAATACCACCGAGATTGCGGGTGGTAATTTAGCAAGTACAATGTCTGATTCCGGATCAGATGAGACGTCAGAGTCACCGAGCAATGTGACAACACCAACCAACAATACCACTGAAATGACAGTCACTGATTCGTCAAGTACGATGCCTGGTTCCGGTTCAAACGAGACGTCAGATTTACCGAGCAGTGTGACAACGCCATTGGACAATGCTACTAATATGACAGATGCTGATTCATCAAGTACGTTATTTAATTCCGTATCAAATGAGACGTCAGAGTCATTCAGCAAATCGACATCATCAGACAATACCACTGAAATGGCAGGCGCTGGTTCATCAAATATCGTGCCTGATCCTGGATCAAACGAGACGTCAGAGTCACTGAACAATCTGACAACACCATTGGACAATACCACCGAAACGGCGGATGCTGATTCATCAAATACAATGTCTGATTCAAGATCAAATAAGACGTCAGAGTTACCGAGCAGTGTCACAACACCAGTGGACAATACCACCGAAATGGCAGACGTTGATTCATCAAGTACGATACCCGATCCCGGAACAAAGCGGACATTATAATCATCAATCACGGGCTCAACACCGGGGGCAACATTTTTGTCATGGGTCAACAGCACCGCTAGAATCGCGGGCAGCACCTATTCGAGTCAGTTATCGTATCCTTATAGCACTTCGATACCGAGATCGCCGGGGTCCTAGGTGATGCCGCTTTGAATATTGGAATTATTAGTGACTATAGAATGTTCCGTTAATACCAGTTCCTGTTTTATAGATTACAACTTCGCATAGCTCGTGTTAAGATGCCGAGCCATTCTTTGTGGCTCCCATGAGACTGATAGTTATCAAATTAATTTTGAAAACGGCGTGTGAAACATCACCGTAATAACATATTTATCATGGCGCATATAGTTTACTCGTATTGTAGCGTGCTGATTTAGTTCGCCAGTATGAAAGACAGCGTGTTCTTCAAATATTCGTTACGTGCGCGCCCTAGCTTCTGGGATATGGGCTTTCGGCTCAGCAATACGAAATTAACATTAATCATAGTATTTTTATGAACACCAACTGCGCCGTATTCAATTGCGTTTTTTTTTTTCGTATTTTTTGGAAGAATGTTGATTGTGTTTTTGCTTGATTCAGTTTTCATAAGTGATTTTAGGGACAGAATGTAAAAAGTACAATTTCGGTTCCGTTAAATTTGAATAAAAATGGAACCGGAACGTGTTAGGATTCCATTAGATACGAGCAGGAGCACGGTTTGAAAGAGCATCTGAAACGCACTTTCTGCTGCCTTTCTTTTTTCTTTTTTTTTGTGCGGAAAAGGTGTTTTTTTTTTTCTTTGTTTGCTATTTTGTGTACCGAAACAGGCCTATACCACTGGCCTATACTTCGTTTCGGCTTAAAGGGGGCCCTGCAATCATATTTAAGCGTCTACTTTTTTTGCGGTTTCCACGTCTCTTGGGGTTCGGGCAAGTCAGCGGGCCCGGAGAGAGTAACTAAATATCAGTGCGTCATATTTTAACCGGACGACACGGAAACCTCCTCCACCGACGAGGGCGACCCGCGGTACCGAAAGCGCGCAAAATGTGACGTCTTTGGTCCTGGGCTTACTACTGGTCAGAGCCGCTAAAAGCTCCTTTTTAGTCGAAATACAAAATATAAGTGGCGCGAACCGTTTCGATTATTTATAAGTGTCGTTTTTGTTCAGTATTTTAGATCAGAAAAAAAAAAGGTTTATAGAGTACGGATACAAGAAATGACCCGTCGACATACCCGCCACCAAGCGGTGGAAAAGGCGGCGCATTGCTAAAGTGTACAATGAATTGAAGGGAGCTTAGAACAGAGATTCGCAAACTAAGAACTGATGTGAGGGAAGTGAAAAAAGGGAATGGATTTCACAAACAAGGCATTCGAAGATATAAAGGAAGAGTTTGAGGTGCTCTCAAAAGAAAACGTAGAGCTTAAGCGGGTAAATGCGAGTCTGTAAAAATCCCATGAAACGCTGCTGCAGGTGATCAAAGAAACAAAAATGCGTCTCGTTCACTGTGAACAGTACTCGAGGAACGCAAACCTAGAGATAAAAGGAATTCCGAAACAAGAAAATGAAAATGTGACAGATACTGTACAGAAGATCGGCGACCTTATCGGGTCGCCGATAGCAGTGAATGAGATAGAAGTGTGTCACCAGGTGTCACCGCGTGCCGACACGAAATAAGGAAAGCAACATCATCTTTCAATTCCGAAGCCGTCGCGACGAGACGCTGTTCTGGAAGCTGCAAAAAGGAAACGCATAACAAACAAAGATCTGGGGTCCACTATAGTACCGCACTGATCTACATAAACGAACACCTATGCCCCGTCTTGAAACGACTGCTTAGGATGACTGTGGCAAAAAAACATGAACATAAATGGAAGTTTGTGTGGGTCCGGAATGGCGGGATCTTTGCCAGGAAAACGGACAACGCCCCTGTACTGGAAGTCACGCACGCAGACGAACTTGAGAAGATTTAATAAGTGTTGAATCGTGTCTCGTTATTGAGTTTGTGTTAAAATGACAGACGAAAATTACTTACTGCCAGAACATGTCAACACAACTAAACATGATATATATAGTGTATTTCATCTTAACCTACAATCTGCACGTAATAAAGAGGATGAACTTAGTATTTTACTAAACAACTTTGGGTTTAGTTTTGACATTCAAATGTTCACGGAAACATGGTATTATGAACAAGGTGACGTTATACACTTGGAGAACTACGAAACATTTTATTTAAATCGCTCTGCTAGACGTGGTGGCGGTGTGTGTATCCAAGCAAAAAACAGTATCGAGTGCGAACTCATAGACCAGTTTCCTGTGACTAATGAGGACTATGAGATATTGACTTTAAAAAATAACGACTTTTTGTTTTCAGTTCTTTACCGTTTACTACATTTATTTAGTCCCCATTTTGTTTCGTAGGAGACAACGGCCTAAGAATAATTTTGGGGGGAGATTTCAACATTAATATGTTAAGTGATTCAAAACAAAAAAGAGAGTTTAGTATGTTGATTGAGCGCTTTGAATTCGCTAATAAAGTTAATTTTGCTACTCGTGTGACTTCAAACTCTAGCATACTTATAGATCTCTTTCTTACAAACGTTGATGCCTCACTGTTACAAAGTGGTGTTGTGGGCTGTTCAATCAGTGATCATCTACCCATATAAATTTTTGTACATCGGAATTTGCCCAAGGTAAGCATAAATGATGCTCCTTCATTTACATTTTGAAGACATGTCATTTACCGCCTCGGAGAGATTTAAGTATCAAATTGAACATGCGAACTGGGATGCGGTATTCTCTGCGGACTCTGTTGATGAAGCATATGACTGCTTTATAATGATATTCACTACCATTTACAAGAACAATTTTAAATATAAGACACATCGATCCCTAAAAGGCTCTCGCAAACCCTAAGTGACGGCCGAAATTCAAAAAAAAAATAATAAACAAGAGAAATAGGCTTTTTAAGCAATTTGTTCGTACAAAAAAAATCCAGAAATACTACATCTTTTTAAGGAATGTCGTAATGAGCTAACAAACTCAATTAGACGAGCAAAATCTACCTATTACTTCAACATGTTTAGCAACTTAAGTACCAGTGCCAGTATATGGAAGAAACTCAACTCGATTTTAGGAAAAACGTCAGCCTTTTTTAGAACTAAAACATTAAAAATTAACGGACAAGAACTCGGAGGAGTTGAACTAGCCAACAAATTTAATGATTATTTTATTAACTTAGTCAGTAATGACCGCAGTAGAGTGAATGAAGCACTGCTATATGTATCAAGATTTATAAATGAAAGTATCTTCTTTTATCCTACGGATTTTCACGAGGTCAGCTCTGTGTTTTGTAACCTTAACAATAGTAAAAGTTGCGATAATGATGGCATCCAAATAAAACCCGTTAAATATGTGATTGCGCATATTGCACCTATTTTAACTCATTTGTTTAATCTATCGTTATCACAGGGTAGTTTTCCTAAAAAAAATGCAAATAGCAAAAGTGGCGGTACTTTATAAATCTGGAGATAAAAATGATCTATCAAATTATAAACCGGTTTCTGTACTTCCGATATTTTCAAAGGGTTTAGAAAAACTGATACATTTTCGATTAAACCAGTTTTGTGAAAATTTTCAGTTGTTACAAATTCTCAATTTGGATTCAGAAAAGGGCGATCGACTGAACTTGCGCTGTTGAACATGAAATAAATAATTCTGAAAACTTTTGAAAATAAAATTCTAACGGTAGGGATTTTTATCGAGTTTTCAAAAGCCTTTGATCGGTTAAATCATGAGACATTAATGAGTAAACTTTACAATTATGGCATTCGTGGAAATGCGGCGGCGTTAATAAGAAGTTATTTGAGCTTTCGTTTTCAGTTCATTCACATCAATGGCCACTTCTCTGATCTAAAACAACTACAGGCAGGTGTACCACAAGGAAGTGTTTTGGGACCTATTTTATTCAAGCTATACATTAACGACATCATAAATATTTCACACGAAAGAGTCTGCAAGAAATATTTATTTACGTACTGATACGGACTACGTTACAAACCCTGAAAAAGTAGCTAATTTATTCCAAACTTACTTTCGTGAATCCTATTCCAAGGAAGAATTCAAAAGCAAGTCTTCAATCTGCGCTACTGGTTGGAACGATAATTTCACATTTAGTGAGGTCGACATAAATGAAATTTTAGAGGCAATTCAAAAATTAAAACCGAAGAAGTCAGCGGGAGATGATACAATACCTAACTTTATTATTAAAGGATGCGCTGATTTGTTTGCCCCTTTACTTATGCACATATTTAACCTATCGCTGACAAATGGTTTTTTCCCCATGTCTTTAAAAAAGGTCAGTGATAGTGCCAATACACAAAGCCGGTGACGCGTCTAGGGTAGATAACTACCGCCCCGTGTCTTTGTTGTGTTCGTTTTCAAAGGTTTTTGAGATAGATTTACATGCCCGTCTTTCTTTTTACTTTTGTCGAAAACTAAGCACCGTTCAGCATGGATTTATAAAAGGGCGTTCAGTAGAAACGAACCTTTGTTCTCTCCTTGAGTATACTGTCCCATTTGTTCTTACACGTGGGCAAGTTGATATTGTGTATTTTGACTTATCAAAAGCGTTCGATAAGGTTAATCATGACTTACTCTTGTATAAGCTCTCTTTATACGGCGTTTCGTCGTCTCTTTTAAACCTATTCCGTAGTTATCTGTCGGATAGAAAGAGTAGAATAAGAATCTTGAATAATTTCTCAGATGTATTTACTCCAACTTCGGGAGTCCCTCAGGGATCGAATTTGGGGCCGCTACTTTTTCTTATATTCATCAGTGATATAGAATTGTGCAATCAAAATTCGAAACTGCTCTTATTCGCGGACGATATTAAGCTTTATCTTAGTATCCAGTCGGAAGATGATTGTGCTCTTTTGCAAGAAGATGTATCACGTATCTCAAACTGGTGCTCATGTAACTTTTTGCCGGTCAATCCAGATAAAACAAAAGTGCTATCTATGTGCAGAAAACGCGAAAGAATTTTACATCAATATTTTATCGGCAATTCCACTATTGAACGTGTGGAACAAGTTCGTGACCTTGGTGTTTATTTCGATAGTAATCTTACCTTTTCATATCATGTTACACAAATTGTTACTTCTGCCTTTAGAACAATGGGGATGATATCACGTTTGACGCATGATTTTTCAAATATAATGAGCGTAGTTCGATTGTTTTGTTCCCTTGT